CTAAGGTCCCTTCTAGCTCTAAATTTATAATTAGAATCCTCAAATGCACTCAACTCAGCTACTCTCACCCGAAAAGTTTGTCTGTATACAATTTATCCTCAGTGGAACTACAACCCACTGGTTGGTGTTGTCTCTAACCCTCCCCCCGAAAAATATGTACAACAATGGAGAAGTGGGTGCATCTCAATTGTCTAGGTCAACTCCATATCAAATTGTATTTTCACATACAGTTTAAAATTTTCTGTGATTAGAGGGGATAGGATATAAGAAAGCAGAAAGGGGCCTGAGATACAAAACAGGATTTTCAAACAATCCTTCTTCCTAAGCTCCCCAAGCATTTCTGTTTGAGCCCCAGGTTCCTAGGGTTAATGGAACCAGGACAGAGAGTACCTTCCTTGTGAACCATTTTCAGCTCTGTATATGTATATTTTTCATATATATGAAAAAAAAATGTGTATTTTCACATATATATACATACACAAACATGTATATATATACATATACATACACACATGTATGCGTGTATACATATATCTATCTTAAAAGTGCTCCTCATGGGTTGACACAGATACCAGTAGGCCTCAAAGGCCTAATGATACATTCCCATCACTTATACTATTGATGAAATGCCAAGTCAGCCAGACTTTGGAACTTTTGTTCCAAAACATGAATTGAGAGGACACGTCTATCTTTCATTAAGAAGTCAGAATATTGCCTACAGTGTGATGAAACCTGATTGCTGAAGTCCTCAACACAACCCACCAATAATATGTCAATATTAAAAATATGAGAGGTAAATGGTATCCACCCCTTTTACATCCTCCTTTAAAAATCAATTAGGAAGTTGTCATCCAGCTAACATAAATCTACAGTTTTTATAAATTAAACAGTAAAGTGATATCCAAGTAGAAACAAAGGTTGCTGATTACTGGCTAGCCTCAGAATCTTGAAGATTTGAATAGGGGTCATACCAGCTTCCAAAGTTGAATTGAGAAAAATACATAGAATTCTTCAAATAAGAGGTCCCATTTTTACCATCCCCAGATCAAAGGACACTAAATTAATTGCTTGTATTTATATATCATTTTAAGGGGTTACAAAAAGTGCTTTCTTCCTAACATCCCTATGGAGATAGGCTAACCTAATGTTAGCATGGGAACTTAAGTCCCTTCTGACACAGGTGGATGCAGACAAGTCTATTTTGAACACATTGTGCCTTAATTAAACAGTGATACAAGTGAGGGCTCCCAGAGAAAAGTCTTTTCATTCCCTGACCACCGAATTTAATGAAGCAGCTTCCTGTGGACTCCAAGGCCCTCCCTCATAAGATGAGGCTTCTATAGCTGAGCCAAACTCCTAACTTTCCCAATGAATAAGGAGAAGGTTCTCTGAAGTTTTCTGACTTTTTGAAAGATGACCCATCCCGACCAACAGATGAAACCTACTACACAGATTAGCTCACACCAATAGAGCAAATTTTAGGACTAAAATCCCACACTATACCCTCCCCCTTAAAAAATTCCTTTAAAATTTAAGAATCTTAGAACAGAAACTGACCCTTCTATAACAATCTACTCATCTCATTCGAAGAGGAGGGATAACCCAGACTACTCTGATGAACCTATTTTTTGGGGGGGGGAAGGGGAGTGTGTGGCAAGTGTCATATGTTTGCATCCCTGATGTGTACCTGCATCAGCCAAGCAATCTTTCTATCTAAAAGATCTGTCAAAAATGAAAACCAATTTCCAGAATGGATTAATGCATTAAAAAAAAAAGAGAAAAGGTCCCCTTTTCCCCTACTGGTAACTTACTCTTCCTTTTTTGCAATAATGGGTTTGCTGATGACTGTAATTTGGGAAATGAAAGAATTTTAGAAAAAAGAGGATTTTCTTTTGAGGAATCTCAAGATAATCATTATTTTCTAACAGAACCATCATGAGGGCTGAACTGAATGAGGCTCTATGTGTAGAAAGGACCTGAGTAATAAATGCTATGGTTCTTTAAAGTTATCTGGATAGCTGAAATGCAAGAGAGGGGTCCTTCTCCTGGGAGCATTACCTTCTTAAAGAATCACATTCACACAGAATGAAATGGCAAAAGCATTGACTGGCAGGTCAACGTGGGCATGGGGCTGCTCCTTTGTGAAGACCTCCCAAAGGCATTTCATTTTCACATTCAGCTCTCCGCACCCCTCCCACCCACCCCCCTCTTCTCCTTCTTCCCTTGCCAAAAGAATCAAGGCCCTGGCTCCGGCCTCACCGACCTTCCTCCCACCCTGAACTGAGCCCCATTCATTAAGCCTGCTCACGCCTAGGCCAGGAAGGAAAACAGAGCACAAGGCATGTGAAAGAGACAGTCAGATTGGTTATTTCAAGGGTGAGGGAGGTGGAGAAGAACACTTACAGACAACTTTTTACTGCCCTCCCCTCCCTACAAAGCAGTCAACTTCTCCATTAAAACACCCCTTTCCACCCCCACCCCGAATCCTTAAGATCCTAAGGGACATTATAACCAGGCTACTTTCCTCATCATCTGCTGAGAAGACACACCCAGCCCAGTTGGAATGGAAAGACAAACTTCTTAAAAAGAGAAGTTTGGGGTTTTTCTATTTGAAAGCACTCAAAGCCCTGGAGATGGGCCATTCAAACAATCTTTTTGATGAGTTCTGACTACTACAGTTTGGGAAGCTGAGCTTTCCTCACCTCCCCCTCCCCCTTTTTAACCCAATAAGACCCATCCAGAAAGCAGTTTCTACATCCCCACGACCAGGGTAATTTTCCTCCCTCCAAAGCTGAGAAGTTACACTTGTAGTTGTTCTGACAATGCACCTAATTAATGCTCTATCTCCCTAAGTAAAGAAGAAAGGTGGGTCTGAGCTGGAACTTTGAAGCCTTGGGAATTAGTCAATCAAGAACTAAAATTCAAAACAAGTGCTCTTTCATGTGGAAGCCCTCAGCTTTTGCCTTTGCTTTAGAATCCCCCAAGCCCCTGGCCCATCCCCCTTCTGAAACCCACAACTCTGGTATCAGCTCCTCATTAAACTAAATGGCTGCAATTACCTTCTCTGAGAAGGGAAAAAAGTGGTTAATGATTGTTTAAAAAAAAAAAGTTTCTTTTCGGGGTTGGAGAAATCCTTTGGGAACAAAAAGAGCACCAAACCCTCAGAGAACTGGGATTGCCATAGGGAGGGGTGGGGGAGAGGGGAGAAGAGATGGAAAATATTTGCTGCCACTTTTTAAGATTAAGCAACCCTAGAGAGCCCCCTTATTAAGAAGGCACTCAACCAGCCAGTTGTGTCATTTCCTGTAGCCAGGGGCCCCCTCCTCCCCTTACCCCCACCCTTTCCTTCAGCAGACTAGACAGACAAGATGTTATCAATAACACAAACCTCTCGAAGAGCCCCCTTTCAAAAGCTACTACTTATTTCCTTTGGTTATTTCATGTGGTCCTAAGGAACAGGGCCTCCTCCCTGCATATTTCATGATTTAGAAAACAAAATTATCTAACAACATCCTTACTGTGCTGCCTTTTTTTTTTTTTTGGCTTGGTTCTTTCTCCCTTGTTGGCCTTGTTTTTGTCTCTGGGGTCCCTCTCCTGCCTTAAAAAGCAGAGAAGATCCACAAGTTGGATTTTTCTTCCTTCTCTCAATCCCTAGATAACCTACTACTCTCTGATCCCCCTTTACCCCCTTTTTAAATTTCAATTCTCATTAGGGCCGTTGAGTAAACAATACACTCCCTGCTCAAATCAGTCAGGATATATATTACAGGGAAATAAAAACAAACAAGGGTCTCCTGAAAGATAGCCACACCTACAGCAATTCCTGAAAAGGGGACTTTGGCAGAGTGGAAGAGGTGTTGGTGGAGTGAGCTAAGTAGACATCCTTATCCCCCAATCCTGCCCTAAGGCAATAAATGGAGGATAATTGTGCAACAAATGCTGGTCAGAAAGACAGGCTGACTTTAAAGAGGAAGGGGCCTTCAGGACACACTAAGTGGATTTTAACTTTCCACACTTGGTTCCTGAGTAGCCAAGATTCCCTTAAGAAGGAAAAAGGTCTCTCAGAATAGAAAGACCTGACAATGCTGGTTACTTGGCACTTGCTAGCTCTTAAGATAACCAGCTAATGACCTATTATTGTCCTCTTCATTTAATCTTATTTTTTTAAAGGTCAGACACAGAGATATACCTAAAAATCACCTGTAGAAATAGCTAAAGAAATTGGTACTACGCATCCAGGGCCTGCTATGAAATTCTTCTCCTCAATATATATAGAAAGATATCCCTAGAGATATCTCTCTCTCTCCCCCACTGTCACTCATTTACTTGGGGCCAGGCAGCACAGCAGCTATTTCCATTCTAGTCGCCTTCAAAAGGACACCAGTCCAACATCGCCCCCCCCCATTACCCTATTGGGTTAAACACTCCAAATTCCAGATCACCAGGCAAAATATTTCAAAGGGACCACCACCCTTTCTAGCCCATTTGCCAAGAATACTGGGCAAGTCCCTTGCCCAGCCATCTTTTCTGGACCTGTATTTCAGAATTTTTCTCCCCTTGTTCATTTCACTCAAGCAATGGGAGTAGCCTACAGAAAACCACACATTTTGGCTTTACCAGACCTCTGAAGTACCACAGTAATAATCACTGACCCTCAATCTGGTAGGGTAGGGAACACCTATGAAGGGCCGGGGGATACAAATCTCTAATAGCTGGCTTCCAAACAAACCAATACTTAATGGGAATCACTGAAGAACCCCAAGTTGGGGCCTCGGTTTACATTATCTATAGAATTGGCTCAATGACCTAATGATAAAAATCCTCATCATTGCTCTAGCAACAGGGGGCATAAACTGCTACCAGGTATCCATCCATCCAGTTAACACACTTACATATAAAATAACCACAAGTTGGACTAGGAACCAAAAGGCCATTCCATTTATCTATTTTTTTTCAAGTGGGTCAGGAAATAGCTGGGTAAATAAGGTAACAGGTCTTACCTGAAAGCCCCCCAGGGGCCAGATAATTAGTTCCCCCTGTTTCAGTGGAGGAAGGCACAGCATCTGGACACTCTGCTGCATCAGGAGTGGTAGGAGAAGAGTTGTAAAAAAAAAAAAAGAGAGAGATTGTTATTTTTTTTAGCACATTCTCAAAGAGTATTAAAGAGAGACCACACATTCCAAACTGTTTACTCCAGGAAATGATGCTTATCACTAATTGTCTGCTCCAGGATTGCTGTACATGATGAGATGGACCACATTAGTTTGTCACTCCTGTCTGGGCTCCATGCTACCCAGTTAATCATTAGTCAAGTCATGCAAAATTACAGACTGGCTGGAATCTCTTTTATTACAAGTTCTCCATTGAAGAAATCAAGTCGGCCATCTTTCCTTTTGGGGCCAAGGTCAAAGGCAGATTAGACTGCTTCTCCCTACTTCAATGCTGAGTGTATACTGCTCCCTAAACCATTTCCAAACTATGTCTAAATATTAAGGATTTTCCAAGGGAAAACACTAGGCTACTGTACAGAGTTGGTCACTACTCTTTTGCCCAAAGTTTTTTATAGAACTCAAAGCTTGCTAGATTGGAGCTTCTTCCTAACTAGCTTTGCTGTTTAATTCGTCTTCCTTCTACCTACCTGGGGCCTCAGTTTACAATATCTATTGAATGGGCTACAGCCCATCAGAGTTTTAGATAAGAAAGTAGCTTTGGATAACCTGGGAGACAAAATTCAGTAGGCTGGACAAGTGGATGCACTCAACTTTTCTCAATGCCTTATTGACAAATAAAGAAATAGAGAAAAAAGGGTTATTTCCAAAAGTCTCTATACTATGCGTACTGCAAAGCCCAACTCACATCTAATCTTGGTGAAGCCTTCCCTGGTGACACCAGTCCTCTCCCTTTCTGGTTTTTTTTTTGTTTTGTTTTGTTTTTGTCTAGGCAATGGGGTTAAGTGACTTGCCCAGGCTCACACAACTAATAAGTGTTATGTGTCTGAGGCAGGATTTGAACTCAGGTCCTCCTGAATCCAGGGCCAGTGCTCTATCCACTGTGCCACCTAGCTGCCCCTCTTCCTTTCCTTTTTAGCCTCCTAACATGTTATCAGATTGTGTCTTGGCAATTGTGCTTAATATATTATAGCCTATATTGCCAGCTAGATTGTAAACCTTCCATGCTTCTTTGTATCCCAAGTGCCTAACACTAACACAATCAGTAAACCTTCCCTGTTAATGATGATGCCAAAGCTACTTATACTTCAGGGGAATCTCAGGCAAAGATTCCCCTATCTTCAAAGAAGCAAACATTCATTAATAAGTGCCTACAATGTGAGCTAAAAGCACAAAGTTAGAGACTGGAGACACAAATGCAAAAATTAGACAATCGCTGACCTCAAGGAACTATCCTCTCCACCCCCCCCCAAGAAAAAAAAAAGGTAACCACATGCAACAAAGGTGCAAGTCAATGACTGGACCCAGCCCTAGCCAACTCATAATTCATTTCTTGGTCGTTGAAATGGGACCAATCTCAATAGCAACACTGACTGAAGAGAAATGCTACATGTTCACAGAGGTATTAGGTGCCTGCTGGATAATATAGGCCCCTTCTCCTCCAAAAAATTCACCCACTCCTGTTTAAGGCATGATGACATTCCCAACTTGTAGTGCAGACCTCTGGCTAACAAGTATGGTTAAGAACAAGCAAAAGCCAACCTCCAAGCTCTGCCCTAGGACTGGGAGTGCCTTGCTTAGTTAGCAAGGCTAACTGAGAATCCTCCATACTAGGAACTGGGTTTTCCTAAGGCTGGCCCTTTTGTTAAGTATAGTGTCTTGAGTTTAAACCACCTCCAGACTAGGAAGGCTACACCCCTCCTTCCTCTCCCTCCCCCCTCCTCCCCTCTACTATCCAGGGCTATCACAGGACTA